ATACTACTGATTTGTGAGAATAGTAGGAAACGAAGAGGGAAGAGTACGTGTCGGAGTGCTTTTTAATTGGGAAATGGAACTGGTTTCCTAGGTGAAATTTACAGGAATTTAGTCATACTCATTATGCAATTTGTTTACCTTACTGGACTGAGAGCTCACACTTGAAGCTGTTATATCGTTCGGGAGGATATGGGGGAGACGGGGCTGCAGTTCAACAGAGGGATGAAGTTGTTAGAGGAGGTCATATAGAACAGAGGGATGAAGGTGGTGTTGGAGGAGGTCCTGGAGAACGGAATGAGGTTGGTGGTGTTCATGATCCTTTGGAATGCATAATTAAATATAAGAATCACCATAGATATGCTCTGGTTCTGGTTTTAACTTGCGTATGTGTGTTTGTCTTTTTATTTGTAGAATAATTATATGTGTGTGACTAATTTAGTTCTTGTGCTGTTTTCCTTGTGCGTAGCCTCTTCCTAGACGTTGGAAGTCTGTTGCTTATGGTTTTTCGGCTCCTATTCATGTTCAACGTGGTCCGGGAGGGCCATCGTGGAGTGTGGAATTGCTCGATGCTGATCTTTGTGAATGTCGTGGTCTGTTCATGTGTTCTGGTTGGGAGAACTTTGTGGCGGACAATGATGTTGACCATGGTGATACTCTCAGTGTCCATTATGTTGGTCAGGGGATTTTCCAAATTACTGTGTTAACAGATGTTGATGATGGTGATGTTGGTAACTAAGATATCATTTGTGTTTTGAAACCTTGTGTTGGTTTACTTTTGAATTTTGATAACCTAGTTTTAAATGCATCGTTTTGAATTATGCTGATCAGAAACAATTTTGTATTCGTCGCTTAATTATGCAGTGTCTGTTGGACAGTTGTGTATTGGATAACAGTATTTGGGATTTTCAACAAGTGTTCTACTATAAATAGTTTCAAAGTTTGTTTTTAAGCCCGGAAGTTGTTCGCAAAGTCCTGATGCTGAATAGTGAAATCAGATTATTCCTCCTTGAAACTGATTTCAAGAGCTTGAGATTTACAAGTTGCGAAAATAAGCCACACTCTTTTCAACCCCACCTTATAGAGTATACTTGTTACTATTTCATCACCTTATTGATCCTTCAATATCTTTTAAGAAGATTAAATATCTTTCACAAATTCTATCAGAATATAGGTTTCAAGGGATAAGTTTCATATTTAAACTTAATCCTTTCAAAACCGAATTGCTTGTGTTTTAAATATCTGCTTTGCAGAAATTCCTTAACAATAGGCTGAATATTTCTGTTGTAATTTCAACGTTCAGTGTCAAATGCGGCGTAACACACCTTCGCTCCCCCTAAGAAGATGCACTCTTATTTAAGTCCAATCGAATATATGTGGATCGATATTCAAGTGAACCTTTTAGTTTACTTCATAAGTTTGTGATTGGCGATTTTGGTGTAAAAATTAAAGATTTATCAATTAAGAGTTAACTGTTTAAAACTTGAAAATTCTGGTGTTTTCCAATACTCATCAAAGAAAGTACATTTCCTGTTAAATCTTAATTCTCTTTGTTTAGTTATTGAATTATTTCAAATTTCTCTCCCCAAACTTCCCATTTTCTCCCTCTCTAAAACCTCCTTCACTTCCTTAATTATGGTTGGTTTTTTCTACATATTGACGTTATACGCCACCTTAAGAAATCCCTCGAGAGATACTGAAGCTGCAGATTATTCAAATAAGCCCCCTCGCAGTACTTGTTCGCTATCGGTCTCTCGCTAGTATTTAGCCTTGGACAGAATTTACCGCCCACTTAGGGCTGCATTCCCGTTTAATGTCATATACCCGTTTCGCGATTGCATTTCTCTGATGATCTTTAACATCCCGGTTTGGCCCTGTACAATTGATTCTCTTTATTTATTTTTCAGGTTTTATTTACAGATTAAAAGCAAAGATGAATTTATGCAGTCGGGGTGAGCTGCCACGGCTGTTAGACGAGCATTGTCGTGAGGAGAATGAGAAGCGTCGAAGTGATGAGGCTCGTTCGGAGTTTGACTTCCTTTATCTTCTTATTGATTTCAAGCGCGTCTTTATTCTCTATATTTTCTTGTCTTTTTCTGGTTTTATTTCCTTTAATTGAATTTGGGTAATTAACATAGGAGGAGAGGTAATTTAGGGTATGGCTTTGTGAATTTTACAGACCGTTGACAATCAAAACGGTGAAGATAAGAGTATTATATCTCCCTCAAGTTTCGATAAGCCAAAAATTGGTTACAACGGGAATCGGACCTGTATCTTCTCACCCGAGCAGCCTGATGTATTGAAAAGTTAGATGAGTGTCATGAGATCTTTTAGCGGAACACCAATCCAGACAACAGAAGCCACAGTCACGCATATTATCATTGTTCCTCCATGGCATTTTTTTGTTTCCTATTTTGAATTCTTTTACTAATTGTTTCTAAAGTGTAATCGGGTGATTACGGGTAGAAGATAGGTGATCTTGTAAGTGCTTTAGGGCTCTAAAGGAAGAAATAAAAAAAAGTTTAAAAACCTACGGGTTGAACAACCCTAGGCGGAGACGTAGGCATTTTTTGCCGAACATCGTAATAATATATGTCTCTTTTACTGCTTTTTGGCTTTATTTTACTGCTTTTACTTCAGTTTTTTTTACACAGCTTGTTTTTAAGCCTTGAAGTAAATCTCAAAGCCTTGACAATGAAAAGTTAAATCAGTTTATTACGCATTTGAACAACCTAGGCGGAGACGTCGACAATTTTTACCGAACTTTGTAATAATATCCGTCTCTTTTACTGCTTTTTTGATTTATTTTACCGCTTTTAACTTCAGTTTTATTTACGCAACTTGTTTATAAGCCTTGAATTACATCTCAATGCCTTGACACTGAATAGTTAAATCAGGTACACCTTGAACTTTAAAACTTGCGGCAATTGGCCATACTCTTTTTTACCCCCCCTCCCTTCTAGAGTATTCTTATTATTATTCCATAACCCTATTGACCCTTCACCCTTGCCGGAATTCAACAAGGGGAGATAATATGTGCTATAACAAGCTTTTGACCATGTTGTGTTAACTCTTGTTTATAGGTTATACTATGATTTTTTGTGGTTGAAGCTTATATCAGTTGTGATTTTGACTTGGGAGTGGGTTGTACGCTTTTCTTGTATGTTTGATGGAGGTCAAATCCATTGCTAATATGCAGGTTGTATTGTTCAAGTCTAATATTTTCAAAGTTTGTTTTCTGAGTTACAATCGTCTTTATTTTAAAAAGGCAAATTCAGATGAAATATTCACTTAGCTCAAGGCCTTGACCTTAACCCTTAAATGAAACACAAATAACTGAGCTCATTGATTTCTTTTTATTTAAGGCCACTTTAGTACAAAACTGATTCATTCAAACGTTAGTTTTGAAGACACTCTACAAATTATTTTACAAAGCTTTGAAAATGATCTCAAGACCTTTACCCTGTATTATTAATATATAACAAACACTCTACGAATTATTTTACAAAGCCTTGAAAATGATCTCAAGACCTTAACCCTGTATTATTTATACAACACAACAAACAACTGACAATTGGAATAATATTTTATACTCCCTTCGGTTTTTTTTTAATTGCAACTTTGGTGTGATTTGCGGTTCACGAGGCAAAAGTTAAGGGGCATGTAGTAGTGGGGTTAATTAAAGGTGATTAAAGTGTGTGGAGAGAGAAAGTTTTGCCCACCACTTGGGAAAGTAGTGGGAAAGTAAGGGTAAAATAGTAATTTTCAGGGATTTTGTTTGCCCAAAATAGAAATAAAATAGAAATTTGCATTTAATTTAAAGCGGACTAAAATGGCAAAAGTTGCAATGAAAAAAACCGGAGGGAGTATTATTAATACAACAAACAATAGGAATAATATTTCGTCAACTGACACTTTTTGAGTATTAAACAAAACTGAAAATAATAACCATATCCTAGAACCCTTATTACACACATTCCAAACTGAAATGAATTAACAATATCCAAATCCTGTAAGATTATTCAGAACATTCCACACTGAAAAAAAATACAAATAGAAATACAAGCAGAAATACAAATAGAAATACAAGTGTAACTAAGCTCATTGATCTGTTAGCTCGGGCATTCGGCCCCTCCTTTTCCTGGCCTTGAAGTTAACCCCAGGCACTGGTAAATCATCCATCTGCATCCAAACAAAGTCACGACAGATTCAGATTCAAAGTACACAAGTGAAACAACTACTTTAAGATCAAACCTCACATTATTCGATGCAGCTTGTAGGGTCCAACACTATCCCTTGCATCCCTTGGGTGTTGTTCACCGTAAGCAACATCCAATAGCTTCAACCACACAACCCAATACAAATGGAAAAAGGTTACTCTAAACCTTATTTGATTGAAGCACAACACTATGCATACTTTGCAATATAATACAAATACAAAAGTGCTTACCCCTAGTTTCCCGTAGTCGCCAGACAGCAATTTGTCTGATTTTGCTGCCTTCCCAATCTGCTGCATTGTCCACACTTTAATTCTTGGAAAAACATCCCACTGAATAGGATCCCTATCCAACCGATCCAAGTAAAATATCTTCCAAATAATAAAGGAAAAACAAGCAATTACTAAACCACAAAAGCACAAGAAAAAAAAAAATAGGCCACAATACACTGAAACACATACCATGGCAAATATTGCACACCCGCCGCATCCCGTTTTGTACGCTCTCCAGCAACTTCGACAACACTAAAGAACACCAATCGTACTTAATTGCCTCCATATCACAGCTTATGGCAGGTAGAAGGTCAGACGCAAGTCGAGGTGACTGCGTGGGACACAACACCATCTCTAAAGCAATTATCAAGAACAACGTCTTGAATTCCTCTTCCTCTCCAGCATCAAGGTACCCCTCCAATCGATTCATCATATCTGAACTTAATGGTATGCCTACAGACGTGTAGACCTGACCAGATTGTCTACCAGACTTGGACTCCCACAATTTACCATACTTGAGAATAAATCTCTAAACCTTCACACGATCATGTTGGGTCATGGTTTTAGTACTAGGAACAGTCCTAGAACCCATTGGTATCCCTAGTACCCACCGAACCTGATTCTTTGAAAACCGAAACTCAAGTCCGTTGGGACTCCTAAGCATTTTACTGATTGGATCCATCCGTGTCATGACCCAGTATGCCAATTGCCTTGGTAAATGCAGATCTAAAGCAAGATGTGAAAGACTGCCAAATCCCATCTCACAAACCCAACGTCTTCGTCTGTCATCAAATTTCTGACATATGCGCCCAAATGACTCGATGCGGCAACCCATGTTAGGAGGCTGCCAATGAAATTACAGTAATTAAGTTAATGTTCCTATCCCACACCCACTGACAACTTAATTAACAAGCAAACTTACCCGACTTCTGGCCTTTGAATGTTCAGCCATCACCTTCGCCCTACCTTTGACGGCCCCTCCATAGCTTAATCCGTCATCCTAAGCACACCAGAAACTAAATTCATTCAATGATTCCTTAATCGTGTAAACAAAGCAAATTCACACACGCAGAATTCCGTAATGTAGTACCTTAAACAATTCTGGATACAAAGGCATGGTCTTCTGCTCACATACATTACTCTTGTTACTGAGCCCATACCCCCCATACCATTCTTCATCTTCAGCCCCAACCTTCATAGCCACAACATCACAAAACATTTAACCGTAATTCAAAAGATAATCACATCCCCATAAAACCACAGTTCAAAACATCATCACATCCCCAGCCTAAAGAATATCTTAAAAAAAAAAAAAAAAACCCTCACCATTGTACGTTAACGCTTACCATTCCCCGCTGACATTTTCATAATCTGTCACATAAGAATACCCACAATAACCAATCAAAGCAAATCGAATCTTGACACGATTCCACACCATAACACAATATCACATTGAACGAACGAATAATGACCACTAATGAATGCATAATTCACCTCATTCCATCAAATTTAATGCTGGAATGAGTAGCATAATTGCACCCGTAATTAAGAATTCCAATTATATTCCGCAAATTCCACAACTTTCATTATTAATTTATTCCATTTATATCCAATTAACAAACATAATCGCAACAATTCCATTTTTTTAGTTACCACTTATATTCCCCTAATTCCACAAGTTAACAATTAAAGTCAAACTATTACCATTTTTACCTTTGCTGGTACAAATACGAACTGGGATTGCAACCCTAGCATCGAATTAATTCTGTCAACAGAGACAATCGACGTACAGAACATCGAACCCCAAACATAAAACATTCAAAAAACAGAAAAACAAAAAGCCAGTTCGAAATTACATTGAATCAGAAAGAACCTGGATACACCAACAATTCGAGTTGGGACCTCGTCAACTTGAGTTCCGCACAAAATTCGAGTTGGACCTCTTCGAGCCTCTTCGGGTTCGGTTCCGCCCAGAAGCCCAATTGAGCTTCAACGGAGTTGAATTGAAAACCCAGAATTCGTGCCTTTCTTCGACTAGGGTTTCGGAGTTTTCATGAAACTCCATAAACGTCCAATGTTAACGGCGTCAATTGTGAGAAACCTAACATCAGTACAATTGGTAAAACAAGTAAAACACGTCAGCGAAATGAGGCCTAATCACCCATCCACCAAGTCACTTATAATATGTGAAATGTCGCCTATACCCCTGTGAGTAACATTACCTGTTACTCACTTTGAGTAATGGGGGTGCCCCCTATTAAAACGAAGATTAAGGAGATAGAGTAGTGACATTAGAATGGAACTTACTAGCTGGTGTTTGAAACAGGCACTTTGTCAGATATATGGATTCGTTCAACTGCAAATAAGAGTACATAATTAGGCAAAATATGAAGCAGAAAGTATATGAGAAGTATGGTTTCAAAAAAAAAGTATATGAGAAGTATACTAGTGCATGGTTAGCAAACTTTCCTGTAATCACTTTCATCTGAGCCTCTAACTCAACCCTCACATTCTGTCCATTGACACCCTCAACACAACCACGATATCCTTTGTAAGGACCATGGAGTATTTTCAGTTTACTGCCAATAATCATGTCTTTTTAAAGTGTTTCCAGTCACTCGTCCGATTGTGCCAGTGCCACAACATTAATTATCAGTACATGAAGTATAAGTAAATGACTTCAGAAATAAAATTTGCATTTGAAATCTAATAATTGTCTTTAGACCAAAAAATTAACATACATGTAGATGAAGAACGACTTCCAAGAAGCAATTTGTAGGATGAAAAGGCAAGCTGTGGTAGAGGTTTCGAGGCTGAGGAATTATGCTGCAAAAAATTGGAGATGATAGTTAGGCATCAGAGCCTAAGGACTGCGGAAAAAAGACAGGGGAAGAGATTCAGCAAGTGAAAAGCCAAATGAACTTACAGGTCTCTCCTGAATACTACAACCACCAATCCCAAACTTAGTTCTGCTTTCTGATGTCTCATTAGATTTCACAACTTGTGCAGAAAACACCGTAATCTGCAAAGGGGAAAATACATATATAATATGTGAATTCTGCTTCATGCCAAGTAAGTCAGAGTAATCAGAAATGTTGCAATTTGAACAAGTACTGATGTTTAACTTACAAGGTCTTTTGATGCATCAGATAGAATGACAAGCTTATTTTGATCAACCTTTACAACTATACCGGTTGCACCTTCCAGCTGACCACTTATAACCTTCACTTGACACCCCGTTTCAAAGTACTTGGCGAGTTCCTTTCTGTGAACAGAAACCGTTTTCTGCCACAAAGAATAACATGAGCCATCAAAACAGGAATGTATTCATCATTTTTCTTACTAATTGATATATTGAATGGACTTTTACCAAAGGTATCTTCTCAGTAGGTCTAATATGAACGATATCTCCCTCCACGTACTCAACAAAGCCCTTCAAATTATTTAGATCACCTTTCACCACCACAACTGCATCACCCCTTATCCAACATCCCTTGTTTTTTCCTTTAAACAAAGTCGCCATATCTGCATCAGCTTCTCCAATTTCTCAAAAGTTTTCAACTTCTTGTATACTTGAATGTATATCTCCTGTGACAATTGAACTCAGAGCAACTGTCTTATACAAGTAAGCTACACCTTCCTGAGGAAAGCAAAGAGCAGCCAAAATGATGTTAATAAATCTCAATCTTTAGAATATCCCTATGTTTGAAGTACTAATTGTAAAGATAATTAAGTACATACTTGTTTATCTGACAAAGTTAAGGCGTTCAACTTAGGAGTAACTTTCACAGTAACTTTGTGCTTTACAGTGTCAACATCTACAACCTATAACAATATAATCAAATATTTCAAAGGTGAGAATGCAACAAGTAACAAAACATGAAGTAACAATATAATGAGTCACTGAGACAGAAGGACATCAAATTCAAACCTTGGCAAGATCGCCTTTGTAACTTGATCGTTTCAGTCTTACCCAATATCCTCTCGAAACATGAACCTCTTTATGGCCATGTGGCTCAACTGAGAGGACATTCCTCATTTCTTTCAGAGGTACCATTGTTACACTCCTAGCAAAGACATTCCGCACTCCCTTACAAGCCTAATTATGACAAAAGATATACATTAACAAATTAGATTTTTAGCAGCATCAATTATGTACATGACTACAGGGCCATTTACTTAGCTGAAAACAAAATGACAAACCTGCATGACATGAGTCTCATAGTATGATTCAACATAGATATAACTCTTCAGATGATCAAGGGCAACAACTAATAATATATTTGATTTAGAATCTTTCTCCAATGATTTCTGCATAAGGAAAGCAGCAACTTCCCTCTCGCGACCAGGCTTCACACACATTTGAACACACATCACATGCATTAAGCTTTCATATGTTGGTGTAAACAAAGATTAAGCATAATAAATGAGTAAAGACTTATCATTTATAGCCTTCCTTACCAAACATTTAACCAACCATAGTTTCAGGTCCCTAACACTTGGCAACAAACTCTGCTGCTCCAACTCTATGATTTTTTCGTCAAAGTCTTCATCATAGCTTACTGAACTTCTAGAGCCATACCTTTCATTGATCATCTTCTCCATTGCGGTAACATCCATTTCTTCCTCGTCTCTCCTATCCACCAATAATGGTTTAGGCACTCTCTCAACGAATTCATATTCATTTGGGTTTTCATCCTCTGAACGAACAAGAAAACCTACACATCCATGCAATTTATTAGTTTCATTACTAATCGACTTAACGGTAATGTAAGTGCTCTTCTGATATAATTTTTAAAAACAGTTTCAAATCATTCAGTCACATATTCACATAATCGTATCACTTGATCACTAAACTAGAGTTTAGATAGACAAAAAATTGTTGCTTATCAAAAGTAACTTTCATAGAAAAATTACAATGTTTGGACTTTCTCTAAGCAATAGTTTACTTCTCACAGTACATTGCTTTTGTCATATCAAAAAGTTTAAAAAAATCTTCATGTAAACTTAAGGTCTATAATTTTTTTGACACCAAACAATTTTATTGATTTTTTTGAAGCAAGGATAGTTGTCTCTTGTCTCTGTTAGAAACTAACTCAACCAAAAGCAAGCTTAAGTTAATGTTTGAAACTTTGAATCCTCATGGTTTACATACTGTATCACTCTCATTATTACGAGAAACACTAGATCTATAACATAAACGTAAAGTCATTAATAGTAAATTGAAGTTGAAACAGGAACAAGAAGCAACCCCTTGTTGTTAGCCTCTGCGCAATTCGGAAAGTCGACCATTCTGATGGTGAAGCACATATATTCCTTAAGCCTAAGCAGGTTAAAATAGTATTAAAAGACGATAAACTACTATTCGCTATAGTAGGAAGTGCATGGGTCTTGTGCACCCGATGAATTATATTTATATAGGCACGATTTTTATATTTGTTTTTTGGTCTTTTAGTCTCCTCTAGGTCGCATTTTCATAAGTCGACCGTTTTTGTGTTCTAATATGCTTCTTTTGTATTTTCTTAATGTATCACGTGATTTAACAATCATTTGGATACTTTTGAAATGTTTAAATTTAATTCCAATGATTTTATGTTTGTGGATGTTACTTTGAGGAGTTTGGTGCACGAATAATGCAAATAGCATCCACAAGGCCAGGGTCGCTATATATGCACCTTTCGGGAATGAATGAATTTGAGTTAAGATCGAAGATAGACGTTAGTTTACAAATTAAAGTGTCAAAAACTCAAAACCAACCATTGTTCATTCTTTTGATCATAATTTTAATTTGATCTACAAATCCAATTAAAGTGATTCAAGTTGGGTTGAAAAACTAGACTTGTAGAGCTTTCTAAATAGGTCACACACCTATATATGCTTCCTAGAATAAAAGATACTTCCTCCGTTCCAATAATATTGCAACAAGGATGAAATTACGCATTCCAAAGCACATTTTATATATTAAATATCAATAATTGTATAAGAGTAAAAATTATAAAAAGTTGATATTGTGAAAATATTTTATGAGACGAATCTAACAAGATCTCATACGATTATATTTTGCTTAACATGTAAATAATATTACATGCTCAAACAAAAGTGATGAATAATGCAAAAAGTCCATTGTTGCAATATTAATAGAACGGAGGAAATAATAATGTGTTCAAAACATCCATGTGACCACAGTACAAGCTACGCCCGCAACATCAGCTAGCAACGTCCAAGCTTCGAATTTCCACACCCGCAGAATTTGTTGCACCTGCAGATCAGATCAGATCGAGCTGCGCCCATATTTAGTGTGCTAGCTCAATGTCTTCGCTTTGTCATAGCGTTAGCCAATTGCTATGCTCATGTAAATTTTTTTTTATTTTTTTTTTGGTGAAGCCGAGCCCCAAAACTTCTTTGTTTTCTTATTCTTTTCTTTAATAATTTTTGGCTTAGAATTTAGGATGTTATAAATTATTCAAGGGATTATTATTTTTTCTTATATCTTTTATGATGTTCATCAGCATTAGCCAATTACTATGCTTATGTTTTCTTATTTTACGCTTTAGGGGTGCTTGTTAACTTTTGTAAATTAATTATGTCAACATATATTAAGCTTAAATTATAAGTGGGTATGTATAATAATCCATTTGTTTCATGAGTTCCACTATGTGTCTATGTTACTATACTGTTGTAATAACAAAAACAAGGAAAGTAAAAACGAGAAATTTTAAAGATAAGAAAGTTCAAAAGTATAGAATAATAGAACTTTACTTGGGTCTTAAAAAGTGAGGCAATATATGACATATTATAATAGTTTAAGGGTGCCCTAAATTGACATTGGCCCCGAAAAAAAAAAAACAAGTACTCCTCGACAGCTTCTCATCTCAGTATTTAATTTTTGTTCACGAAATCAATTAAATATTATGTAAAAGGTAAGATACTCACATAATATAACTAAGGGTCTGTTCTCTTCAG